ATAACATGCTGTTTCAGCTTATCAAGTCATTATGACTGCCTGCTAACTGAGGAAACCATTACCATAATATGCAGTTTTATTTGATTCGTTATGCATGATCCAGAGAGCGCTGGGCAGAGAGAGAGAGAGAGAGAGAGAGAGAGAAAGAGAGGGGGATAGAGTTAGATGGGAGTAGAGGTGACCCTGATATGACAATAATACATCTAAAGTAGGACTTGAACTGCTAAACTGTTTTTTTTGTAGAGAGGCACTATTGCTTGATTTAGTCATTTTACAGACAAATTATCCTTACTCAAAACCACTGTGTATAATTAACAGTTCTACCCATTGGCTTATTGGATAGAAAATGTTGAAATTTTAATAGCCAGGAATGGATGACCAATCTACCAGTAATTTGCATAATTTACCAGCAGTTTGCCGGTGCCAATGCTGTATGTGCCCTGCTCAAGCCCTCATATTGAATTCTTAAATAAGCATCAAGAACTTTGAGACCTGGTGGACAATGCTTAACAACCATTCAGAAATTGTGTTTACTCTTCAAAGAAATCAGTTTATTCTCTGTTTGAATTAAATCCATCTTCCCCAAACTCCCAAGGTCACTGTTGTTATTATTATGCCAGTTTTCAAAGGCAGAGAATGATTATTTTTAGTGGTGACTAAAAGCTACAAGATTTTTACAAAAATGTGAGTCTTCACCTCTATTTTCTGAATGACACGAGAATACAAACCGGAAAGCCAGTGGGGTGCCTCTGCATTATACTTAGATTGTGTCTTACCAATCAAAACTCACATGCCACTCTTAATATTCCACTACTTGCTTTCCACTTTGGAAGACGAGATCTGTCCCGGCACCTTTGTCCTGGCATTATGTAGTTGTGGTATCTTGCACAGAATAAACACTGCGTTTGGGACTCGGGAGAAGATTTTCACTGAAGAGTTGTGCCATATCCGCCCCAGCAACAGACCACTAACTAGCTGCCTCTTTGGGAGCTATCTGAGCTTGATATTTATGTGAATGGACTGCTTTTTGGCTGGTTCAGTTAAGGACTGCCAGTCAGACAGACTGAAAGAACCGTAGCTCAGGACAATAATGGTGATCTGAGGGTGCTGCCAGCATGTGCCATGTGGGGCATAATTGTTCTTCTTCCAGCCTGTTCCAGATCAGGCAAATTTGTAAATACACGCCGACTGCTTTGCATCCCATTTCAGAGCAAGTTATTGGCAGTAATGTCCCTTCATGTAATTACTGATGCAAGATGTACAACATTGAAGGAAGAAGCTGGCACAAAATTACCTGTAACTTGGCAACAGTTTGGCCGGTGTGCAGCCACTGTTAACTGAAATGTCTGAACTCTTGTCTGTCACCGGCTCTGCCTACTGTCCTTTCCAACTGCAAATAGGACTGTGAGCTTTCCAACAGGTTATAATAGAATGAGCAGACAGCTGGTCCTCTTGGTTAAACATGAACAGGCTGCTCTTTGACAGGGCTGTCACCAATAGTCAGCATGGGTCAGAGGGAGCCTGGTCACACTTCAATAAAGAGGAGGATCTAATGAGGGAACTTAAAGGTAAGTACGCACTCAATTTGAAACATTCACAGGCAGAATTGAAATCACCGAGTCATTCATTTATGTATAGGGAGGGAAAAAATATGGCAGCCCTGCTTTAACAGAGAAAAAAAAAATATGATGACGAAAGTCAAGACAGTTATTACTTATTAGTACTAATACCAAGGTTTTTTTTCATAACTCTTGGCAATGAATTCATGCCTATTAAAGTAGGATACGTAAATGCTAGTACCTTTGAAGCCTGATAATGTATCTTGCCGGCAGCACCCAGCCATCAGCCTTCTTACCAGCGCTGTCAGTTAACACCAATACTAGGCTGTCAGCACTATGAGCAGGGTGTGCCTTAACCAATTCTGAGACTAACCAGATGTAATGTGTCAGGCAAAGATAGAAAGAAAAAGGGTGAGTTAAAATCTTAGACAGGAGAAGAAGGTGAGTGAGTAAGAGGCAGCAGACAGAACTCATGATTCAAAAGAAGAAATGCTCCTAGACTGAAAAAAAAAATTAAGAGAGTAAACTTCATTGAGTAAAGCATTTGTTCTATTGCCTTCATCTGTTCATTGTGCACCACCTTAAACCTTGACACCTTGTTTGAAGCAGATGAGATGTGGGCGCATAAAGTTGCACACACTCTGTGCTCCTAGCCCTTCCCACAGTGTATACACATCTCAGCCCTGCAAGAACAATAGTTGACCTTTGACTTCTTTGCTATGTGGGCTGTTTTATGATGTTTACCCAGGAAACTGTCGTCTTTATGCATCTTCTCTACAGGCACCAGTTAAACCTGCGGAGACACATCTGCAAAAAAACGGCATGGCAATAAAGTGGTAGAGAGGTCAAAAGTAGCCATGAATTTGCTGCACCTCCTGGCTTACCACATTAACACTAATGAAACAGCCTAATGCATTGATCCATCAACCAAAAGGATTGAGGATGTTGTGCTCCCAGTAAAAGAGAATTATTTATCACTGTAGTTTCTTAAGTTTCCATTCATACAAAAGATATCATACGGTGATTAAGACAGAAAAAAAAAACAGCTTGAAAACTCTAAAGTAACGTTATTTATGTCCTGTAGCTTTCAAAGCTACATGCAATGTTGACCAACAGTTTCTCAAACTGTTGTGAATCTATTACAGGCTGCAGGCTATGCCCCGAGACTAAAAATAATTCAAAGTTACGACAACTGTCAGACTGGTTGTTAGCCAACAAAATAACATTCTAAGGTTGAATTACAATTTTCAGCCAAACAATATCAGGATAAATTTGAGCAGCATGCCTTGGGGATCTGATTAAATCCCCATTCCTGCTGCCCCTGGATCCCCATGCCCTCTGCTATAACGAGCACTACGTCCCTGTGGCCCGTGCCACACCTGTGCCCCCTGTCTCCCTTTCCTCACTTCTTCACCTCACTTTTTTTTTTGTACGTTTCCTATCTCTCTCTGTCTCTCTCACACACTTCTGCTGTACTCCATGGGGATGGCAGGTTCAGGTGTGCCGCTCAAGTAAACTGAGGACAATGCCACAGGCGATATAATCTTCACCAGCTGAGTCCATCCTCTCTAAAAACTTCTTCAGCTTCAACGGAATAAGCGAGCAAGCATCATTCTCCTTGCGCTTGTTATTTTTTTTAGTTTTTCATTTGCATTAGAATCATTTCGGTTGACAACAAAAGCATTAAAAAAAAAAAATGTTCATTTGCCTTTTTAGTCTTGTTTATGTGCGAACCATGCAACACTGCACAGCTTCCGACACTACTGCATGTTTCACATATCAGAGACGTCATGTGTTGGACTGACTTTGTCTGGCAGAGCTCAAAACCTACAGTGTTGAGAAAAAAAAAAGCTGGGTCACCACTACAGCCATGAAACAGCCTCGGATAGCGTCCCAAATTAAAATGTGCAACAAGGCAGGCCTAATTCCAAAGACAAGTGGTTCAGCTTCAGCGACCACCTGCCTTAGAAAAGGATTCCCGAACATATTTAGGTCAAGTCCCGCAATCAACATAAGGTTGAACACAAATTTGGAAGCCATCTGTTTTGTTCTGTCAATATGGATTCCTTCTGACAGAGACACTGTCGAACATGTTGTCACTACAAAGGGTTCAGGTGCACAATTCACAGATACCTTCAGTTGCTGGCTTGGAAAAAACTTAACCTACGCTACTGGATTTCATTCACAATTCCTTCTCGTTGGTGGATTTCATTCAGACCTAATTGCGTTTCTGTAACATGTGATTCTCAAGTCATTTTGCAGCTCAGACAAAAGAAAAAAAAGGACAAGTTAGAGCGGAAGAGGTGAGACAAACAAGACAGAGCAGGGTCCATATGATCTCAAGCAGCGGCAGCAGACTGGCAAGCAGCAGGCAGCGGAGGAACCGACTGCGACCCAAAAGATGTGGCACGGATGGTGGAGGATTACGTCATCGAGTAAAGAAAAAAAAAAAAAAAAAAAGGAGGACGCCTCATCACAGCAGACCCTCATATTACTTAACACCTCATGAGTTAAAAGCTTTATTTAAAGCAAACGTGGGAACCCTTTTTTTTTTTTTTTTTTACCATTTACTTCATGCAAAAACATGGAACATTTATTGCACCATGGGGAAGCTAAATGCAAAGGGCAGCAGCAATAAGCAGCTTATCCATACAGGCCCCTCTCGTGTCATTTCTAGAATGTGACGCGTGCTTTAGAGCCGCTGCTTTACCAATCATTCACAGCAATGAATGACAATAAAAACACGTCCATTTTTTCATAAAGGATGTGTTTTCGCTTTCTTTACACGCCGTTTATTCTCTATGGTGCAAGAAATACATTAGCTCTGTCTAATAACACTTGCCCTGGGGGGGAAACAACGCATATTACTTAATAATCACCAATTAATAGTGTTTAAATGTCATCTTCATACCCTCATAACATGACTGGTCCCATTTAAACGCCAACTGGACTGTGTCATTAAAAAAAGGGGGCTTATTGTACACTAAATGAGCTGTAAGTGGCCTGTTTGATTCATTATAAAAAAGAAAATGTTATATTTCATTCAACAAACAATCAATTGACAGTGGATTAGCTCCTGTTTCGCACGCTACGTAAACTCAGCAGCGAGGTATTGAATGGGATGAGAAACAGCTAGCTAACAAGCAAAGCAAAGCAAAGCAAAGCAAGCTACGGAAAACCCCAAATGGCTCATTGAGGTTATAAGATAAAAAAAAAATGTACAGTCTTTGTCGTGTTCCACTAAAGCAGGTGTCAGTGCAGCAACGGGGAGAAGCGTGTTTCCATTGTAATATCGCAACCTTTTTTTTTTTGTTTTGTTTTGCTGTGCGGGGAGCAACTTGGATATAAAAAAAAAAAAAAAGTGACAGCGCTAAGCTAAGCTAAGCTAAACGTCAGCTGGCTGTGAAGACTGCTGGCCTGTGAATGAGAGTCTTTTCTTACCGTCATAAACTGCTCCAGGGGCGTCCAGTTTTTAAGGAATATTTTTTTTTTTTGCTGTATGAGGAAATGGTTTTTGTGTGTGTGTGTGTAGGGGGGGGGTGTGGATGTGGGGGGGGCGATAAAGCCCGAACATCCAAGATCAGTTCACCCAGTGCCGATGAAACCCAAGCATCATCATTATCACCGTCTTCATCAGAACTCGGGAGTCCGGCGCTGCTTCACACACATCCATCCAGCAGAGCGGGGCCTCCTCCGGGCTCGACCATGCAACTGGCTCGGCGACGACGGATAATCCACAAGACGGGAGCCCCCGCAGTAACCATTGGCTAAACACGGCGACTAAGCAGTCATTTCAGGTCGAGAGAATGGAGGAAAAAAAATATATATATGTTTCCCACGCAAGGCTTTAAAATCAGGACGCCCGAGACCGGTAGAAGGTTAAAATTGTGGGAAATATTTGGACGTTAATCGCAGGATAGGCGTCTTTCTGCGTGTCTGACTTTTCCCCCAACACGAGCCTGTCCGTTGAAGTCAGCGATCCCTGGTCTCTCTCTCTCTCTCTCTCTCTTCTCTCTCTCTCTCTCTCTCGCTGCAGCTGCTTTGACTGCCTTGTCTGCCTTGCAGCACACAGCAGCGATCAGCGTAGCGACGTCATGGCGCAAACCGAGCGCTGCTACAGGGGGCGGGGCCATGGAGCGTAGAGGCGCGCAGTTTGTTTTCGGGGTGTTCACTGTGTGTCCTCTTGCAGAACTCCTTTTCTACAATAAAAATCTGAAATATTCTTACAGCTGTCTGAATAGAAACTTTGTTATGCAAAACATTACGACCGTGTTGATTTGCATTTTTTTTACACAGCATGTTGACCATATAACCATATATTTTATTTTATTTTTTCTTTATTTTTTTAGTTTTATTATTATTATTATTTTTTTTTCTCTTCAGATTTTTTCTGATTGTGTAATACTGGCTGGTTGGTGGGTGGCTAGGCTTGGGGGAGCATTAAGTGTGAGTGAATGTGAGTGTGTGTGTGTGTGTGTGTGTGTGTGTGTTTGTGGTGTGGGTGTCTCTGTGTTTAAATGTTTGGTATTATGTTTTGGATTTACCTTTTATTTTGATTTTGTATTATGATGATTCATGTTTTGTAAGGACCCCCTTGAAAATGAGATGATGCATCTCAAGGGAATATCCTTGAAATAAATTACAGAAATTACAAATATTGACAGATGTATTGCTACACATGTTAGTCTATGTCTTATCATATTGTAATATTTCTCCTCATATCCTAATATAAAGTGCAAACTGGATTTATGAATTACTGATGTTAAAACACATGGCATTTGCATAATAGATCAATATATTGAATTACTTTTTTATTTTGTACACTGTCTTAACACAGTAGTTTAACGCTGCTTGGTGATGCTGCAAGTGCACATGTAACATTTGATTCAAAAATAATTGTAGTTATTTGACAATGCATTTTTTTATCGAAATATATGCTTTACCAAATACTTATTTTTATACCTTAATTTATTTGTATTTTTTTGGTATGGTTACCTGAATTTCATAATGGTATAATAAACTTTTTTTTTGTAATGAAAATGTTTCTCAACTTTCATTCCTACACACACACACACACACACACACACACACACACAGATGTACACACACACTCTTTCAGAATAAATATCATTCTGAGTTTCAAGATTTAAATTGTGAAACACATTTCTTTTGTTCTCTTTCACTTCAAGTCCAAGCTTGCCCATTCAGACAAAATTAATCTATAGCCCTGTCATTCGTGGATAGAGTCAAAGAGAGCTAGATGGTAACACATTGTGAGAGAGGTAATGTGGAGTGTACTGACCTCAAGTGGCTCGGAACAGAAATAGCGTACAATGCAGCTAACAAAGGACCATTGTACAGCTACTCTGTTTGGCATACAATGAAGTTAGCAGATGAAGCGGAGTGGTGAGAACAAGACAATAAGCCCAGTGTTGTTGATATGCATATCCCAAAAGCCTTTTGTAGTGAGTAAATGATGGAGCAGACCTATATTTCAATACAGAGTTAACTACTGAGGAGAGTGAAATGTTTGATACAGCATATTAAAATATTAGGGAAAACATTTCTTAATGAGGACTGCATGGTGCCAAAGCCCACAGTCTGCTGCACAAAAAAAAATGTGCATCTTGCTCGAGGTCAATAATACAACTGAGCACTAGCTATCCTTATAAACAACAGTCCTGCACTCTGCAAGATCAACCATCTGCATGCTTTATGAACAGGTTTCTATCACATGGGCCTTCTCTACTGATCTATTGGAGAAAACAATGGATTCCATTAAGCTGCTTTTTCTATGACATGGTAAACCTGAGGACAATGATGTTAAGTAGTGTATGTATATCTTCAACAATATGAATTATGTCCTTTTATCTTTAGACCTGTCCATAGAGGGTGCTAGATCGGAAGTGTACCAACTTTAACCCATGATAATATGCAGACTTATGACTGAGGAGAATTGGATACATTATGCCAATAATGTGTGGGTTCATAGATTGTATGTCTCCTTAAAGGTTGTCGGAGAGCTCACCTGTGATGACTCATAAAACGCTGTTCATTACAGTTAACATAATTAGATACATAATATGAATAACCTTATAAAGAAGAGCAACGATACATATCAACATATTTTGAGTATGCACGTACGGACGCATTTGAGTGAACACTTCAAATCAACAGCAAAATCTTGAGTTTGTTTAGAAATGTAAGCCCATGTTGAATATCTCAAATAGGAAATACAGTATATCTGTTGATGGATGTTCTTTACGACTGACTGTCTTAGCCAGGTCTCCCTTGGAAAAGAGGTTCTTAATCTTAATGGGCCCAACCTGGTTAAATAAAGGTTCAATTAAAAATGCTGATTCTTTGGGATGAAGAAATAAGGTTATCTTTGATGAGTGAAGAATTGGGATTTAAAAACATTCAAAGCTCTTAAGGAGTAATGTGTCCATGTGTATACTGTATGCAAGTTCTGAATGATAAATTACAAATATAGTATCAGAGCATCTCTATCCTGGATATCTCAAGTCCCAAACAAATAGAAGCAAAACTAAACTAAAACATTCAAGGCAGGATACCTATACATGTGGTTCAGGAAATACTAAAGTTATTTGTAAATGTGGTGAACCTAGCTATTAAAGTGAGTCTTTCGCAACACTGTTAAAAACTTTCGCACAACGACACATAAAGTATAACTGCGGCTGTTCACTTACGTCTTTCCGACAAAATGTATTTCATCACATGAACATCGTCTGAGCAAGCTTCAAAAAGTTTTATTTGTACAACACAGTACAGGCTTATCAACCTATAAATAAAACAATTGAAACCCCATCTTACTGTCATTTGATTGGTAACATACTTCAAGATTCAAAAATGTTGCAAACATTTTTTTTTTTGCATATGTGGGAAGACAATTTGTATGCCAACAATTCTTTTGGCTAAGATTTTTTTTTGCTGCAAAAAAAGGTCAGACACGCTTCCAGGTTTTTTTTTTCTTGCAGTCTATTCAGAGAAAAACCTGATTTCCAGCAGGATACTACAGTGTCAGGAAAAGCCAAATGAGATCCATGTTAATTGTGAACACAACGTCGCCTCTCTCCGTCTTTTCAAACTTTCTCCTCTTTCAGCAGAGAGAGGATCCTGTCCCTCCTGGATGTGTATGGTGTGTGTTTCAGCTGCAAGAGGTGAGCAGGAAACAGGTTCCCACTGGGAGCATACATTTCTTCTCCCTTCTGTCCCATCAGAGAGCGCAGAGTCTTGTTTCTGGAAAGAATCTTGTCGTAAAACTCAACACCACCTTTGGCATAATCACGGGACACTCCAGCTGCAAGCCGGTCAGCGCTCATGTCATTCCAGTGGCTGACAGCATCCGAGGTGAGGAAGTAGGACACGGCACCGAGCCCCAGTGCGACGATGTTTGCAGCCCCGCGAAACAATGGCGAAACGGAATGGAGACCCAACACCTGCTTCAGCACCACGCTGTACACCCAAACACCACTCAGGCAGAACGGGGCAACAACAGCATTCAAAACAGGTCCTCCTGATTGCAAGCGGGCCACTTCTCTCGCTATGGCAAACTTCTGTGCCTCAAGGGAAAACACTAGAGCTTCCTTCAGAGCTGAGCCGGTATCACTGCTCCAGTCCACCGCTTTACCGTTTATGAAAATGGTGCGGTTGATGATTCCGCTCGGGTCATCTGGGGAGCTGTTAAAGTTTGCAGGGATGCCAATTTGAGCGCCTTTAGGAAGCCAAGGGACACCAGCTCCCACTGGATGGAACCCAAAGGAGGCGAACGCAGAGAAATTCTTGGGGGAGCTCACACCATAGTCCTGTATCACCTACAAATGACGACATCGAAAAGTAATATTTAATGTCACATTTTTAGCACACGGTGAAACACTCTTCCACGTTGCTTGAGTTTTCCCATGATCTATTAGCGTCTTGTTTTGTGAATAGAATCTGTAAGTACCACAGGTAAGACAGCAAAGAAGAGAGAATAAAAAGCACTAGTAAAATCTTCCGCACAATACCTGCTGGACAACTCCCTTCAGCTTCTCAGACAGCTCTACAGGCTCTCCTTTGTGCCAGGCCTGATAGAGCTTACGGTACGATATGTCGGGGAAAACATGGTAGAAAATGTTTGCTGCAAAGACCCCGCCACAGCTGGTAAGAAGCAGGGGAGTCCGGTACTTCTGAAGAAGCACAGAGAACTTGAGGAAGCGAGACGCCATTATGGATTTTGTGTCCGTAATGTGCTGAAGGTTTTAGAAGGTGGCAGCTGTAAAGAAAGCAGACCATCTCTTCATTAGTATAACAACAGGTGTGCATGTTACAGATACACAGAGAGGTAGTAGGGTAGCAATGTCGCTCAAAGAGTTTAAGTGACTTAAACCTGTGTTGTAACTTTTGTCAACAGGTGTACCTGTTCTCACGTCTTTTCTACTCCTTTTGTTTCAGGAGCTCCAGATTCTTATCATTTACAACATTAATATTTGAGAAATATGTGTTTTAAGCCCTTTGACTGACTGGTCCAGGGTGTGCCCCGCCTCTCACCCCAATGGCAGCTGTGATCAACTTGTCAAGCTTTAGACCTTCATCCTCTGAAATTTAATGTTTGCATTCGTCACTTTTCATTACAATTTAAAGGCAACTAATTATTGAACATCTGGAAAAATCCGGTTTCTCAGTAAAATGTTACAAAATATGCCGGAAAAAAAAAAGTACTTTAACTCATCCACTTTTTTTTTTTTTTTGGTGTAAAAATAGATGCTGCATACCTACACTCTCACATACAGGTATTCATAAACCTCATAATATTTTCATACATGTCATTTTCAGATTGTTAATTATGTGTTGTTTTTTTTTAATTTGGTGATTTTTTTAACATTGTTTAGGTGGAGGCTTTTCAAGTGTTCTGGCTCTTCCTGCACTGTACAATGTCTATGTCTGTTTTATTGCGTAAATAAGTAGAAATACAGCGAATAAATAAACCTGACAGTCGCTGTTCTTTTGGCTTAAGGGTTAACAAAGAGGACTTTAACATCAGAAGTGGGAAAGTTGCTTCTGGGCACTGCTTTGCCACATTATGCTACAATATGTGTCAAATAGGACATACACAACTAAAGTATGATTACATTTATTTTGAAGCTTCAAATAAGGAACAACAGAGGGTTATGTTCAGGTGATGCAAGAAGACATAGCTCCATAAAAGACCATAAACTATGTGATGCTAGCTCTACAGATTGAGCTTCCTACCAACATTGAGATGTGGGAGCACATCTTTAATTTAATTCTATGCACATGGGACTATTACATTTTAGAGCATGTACCCCCTCCTTAAATGTATTATTATTGTATGTCCTAACCAAAATAATGAGAGTGAGGTTGTTATATTACTACTGATATACATATATATATACATATAGCCTAGAAGTATCGTTAGGTAAGGAGCCAACCTATCTTTATAGTAATAAAAAGACCCTAATATGCTATTAAAACAACAAAATGCCCTCGAAACTATCGTGAGACAACTCAGGCTGCAGACTGACTTATCAGGCTAAAAGATTGACCTTGACCACATTAAGCGAAAACTCATACATAAATACTCATTCATACATACAATCTAAGTTTGATGTCTTAATAGAAAGAAAACGCAGCTTCGTACTCACATGTCCACATCTGACAAGGACAGCCTCGCTATATGTAAGAGCTTCATTAGCTGCAGAAAATCCTTTCCGTAAAGCGACCACGACCGCCTGGTCTGCAATGGCGTTGCACGACAGTTTTACGACAGTCGGTTTCCAAAGCAGATATCTCATCTGTGTCTGTAAAAGCACCAGACAAGTAAAGCTCTTAAGTATTATTGTTATTATTATAGTCATATGATTAACAGAAATCAAGGCAGAGTACTTCAGAATATCAAAATTCCAGCATATCTGCTGACAGAAAGATGGAAAATGTTAAAAAAACAAAACATATATACAGTAGGCTAGTCCTAAACAGCCATATCTTAAAATCACATATATTTATATATAGCCTATATGGTGTTTATAAAGTGTTTGTTAAATGTTAATAAACCAAATATATTCATAATCAATGAATACTCATGTTTAATATGCAGAACATAAGTAAAAATGTAAAAGTGGCATGGTGGGTATATTTTGCCTTCTGGTGTTTTTGGGATTATTTTACATTGCATAGATCTTAATACAGCTGTTACCCTACTAGTGCTTGACTGATTGACTGTGTGCGATTTTATTATCTGTGTAATTTTATCGCCTGCTGTGAAGCTCTTTGTTACCTATTGAAATGTGAAATACAAATAAATGATTAGGCTTTTATCATTATTACAATTCTTTGCTATTTCCATGTATTCTTTTTTGTGTGTGTGTGTGTGTTCAAGTTTCTTGTACTTTACTAAGCGGAGTTCTCGATAAGTGTTCAGGATTAGCCTTTATGTAGGACTACCAGATTTTAAGGCTCATATTCCTCAGGCATTTGGCACCATCAATCAAGCCTCCTGGTGGGAGGGGGGGGTTTGTGGGGTTATTATTTGGTTCATCCGGCAGGGGGCGCTGAGTTTCTCTCCTCAAATTCTTCACTTTTAACAGAGACGTTTAATGTCGTCTCTCTCTTTCTTCTACTTTCTCCCCTACAGGATCCAGTTAGGTTTCAATGAAATGTGGCAGCTTCGTCGACGTGCTGCTGACGAGTCCCAGCAGACAACACAGATGTGTCTGCAAGTCCCTTCACACCATCGCGGTGGTATCCAAGTAGAAGACACTATCTTACAAATGGGACTTTGACACAGGTCAGATATAACACAGACAGTGCAGCTTTGGTTTCACGAAGAAGGACGGGGTCTTTGAACGTGACAGACTGAACAGGAGACCTCATTTCTTCTTAGCAGTTACTAGACGCTATTTCTTCTCTTTTCTGTGGCATCCTACGTAACGGCTCCAGGCAGCAGAGAGCAATCTGTTTATAAACCATGAAATAAAAAAGAAGCTACAATTCAGTTTAAAACTGGATTGCAAGATCTGTATTGAACTTTAGCTTTCCTGCATGGTGCATTTGAAATTGCAGACTGAGGTTGATACAAATCTGTAGTACAGGCCACTTCGCCTTTCTTTCTTCCATTACAGGCCTTTCTCTGTTTTAGCCTACATAACAGAAGACCTACATGCCTACATATAGCCATACATAGACATTTCACTGCAATTAAGCTATTTCAACACTCATTTGATGATATTCCTGCGAGGCCCCTTGCCATTCTATGGAAGAGAATTAGGGCCACTGACAAAAAAATTGGAGCTCTGATTTTTTTTTTATCAGAACTTTGACTCTTTCCTGAGATTTTGGGAAGAAAAGTCTGACACCCCCCCAACTGGAAAAAAAAAATCAGTGGCCCCGTTCTTCTTCCGTACCATTTATAATGTTCAAACCTTGCGCTATAAGGTAATTTATTGTCATGAAGATGCTCCTTTCAATATAATAATATTTTCTAAAATGATTGATGAATATAGTACTATACATACAGAGTAATTATTTAATGTAAAAATGTGACTTATGTTACCTGCTTTACTGTACGAAATGAGCTGGTGGCGGAGCTAAGATTGATTAAAACACTTATTGTCAGGTCAAATTCTCCAGCCAGACTCACAAGATCAGGAAAGGAATTTGGATGTCAAATAAAAAAAACTTGAGTTCCAGTGAGCTCAACTTTGTAAAAAGAAAAAATAGTAAATGTCGTATATAGAATTTAAGAAGCATTTTAATGTTTTTATTTCAAACATAGACATCTAGATGGTGGTCTACTGTAGACTTAATTGCCTGTTACACACTGAAGAAGAGCATCTGCTCAATTTTGGAGTGCTGTCCTAATTGTTTTCTGTAGACTTACTCATTTTCTAAGTGTCCCCCTGGTCAACCTTTGGTCGTCATTATGAAGATTGATTGGTTAATTGATTAAATGGTTACGGTTAAATAAGGTTACTGAAGGCACTTTTGGGCCAAATAGATTATAGCCTATGTCTCTATAGGCAAATGTTTTGTCATGCATCATTCAAATGTATATTATGTGTCAGTGGAAGAGAAGCAGCAGTTCAGTAGAGCTTATGTTGACAAAGGATTCATACCGGAAAATTACGAGTTGGTTGATTAGAATAAATCAGAATAATTAGAGCAGACAAACGAGGAACAAAGCAGGTTGAAGTCACCAGAATAAAAATAAAGAAGCCTCCCCCACATGGAGTCACTGCTGTCAGCTGTGGGTGTAATGGGGAGATGGGAAGCGTACATTTCAGCTCTGATGGTATTTTACATTCCTGAGAGAACCAGTTCCCCTCAAAAACTGTGCGGTTGCACATGTATTCTATGTTTTATCTTCCACATTTCTATAGATAGAGTCAATTATGCACGCAGGCTGTTGTAGATCATAAAAAAAAAGAGGAAGAGGTGAACGTGTTTGTTTGCTGCTGATCTGTAACCATGTGAATTTTGTTTTATGATCTTCGAGATGTGGACATGTGCATGTGAGCTGTAGAAAAATGTAATGTTGCTCATGCATTCGATGCAAATGAAAGCTGGATGCCGGTACACAAAACCTGATTTCCATGCAGTGTCTGGCTGCACATGTCACTGGGTGATAGAGGAAGTGAAAGTTGTGCAGTTGCCTTTTAGAAAACTTCCAAGTATTTTGACTGTCTTTCTGCATCATCTTGTGATTACCTCTTTTTCACAAGGTTAAGTAGTGAAAAAAAAGGTTTGTTTTCATATTATTCTTATCAACTTGGAGTCTTCAATGCCCCCTTGCTTTCCAGATGCCAAATTGGCAGGGTGTATGTGTTATGGTAGAGTGTACTGGGCTGGGGCAACGATAACGCTCTTTAAAAAGAATGTGTGTACCAGAGGATGGCCAAGAACGGGTTTAGGAGCAGTGTTATTTTTGTTAAATCTAGTAAAGATTTCAGGACAGTGTTGTTATCAGCGACCTCAGTTGCTTCATGTGTTGAATCACAGCTTTCAGCTTTCAGCTTTTGCCTTTAGGACAAAGATACAAAGTCCCCTGTGCAAAGAAAAAAATTAATTGTGTATTTGTCATTAGAAAGTCTAAAGTTGGGGCGCTGGTGGTGCAGTGGTTAGTGCTCGTGCCACATGTATGGAGTAGTCCTCAAAGTGACCTGTGGCACCTTTCCCCCCCATGTCATTCCCCACTCTCTCACCCTGATTTTCAACTCTATCCACTGTCCTATCTCTCCAATAAAGGCACAAAGAGCCCGAAAATACATCTTTAAAAAAAAAGTCATCAGTTTTCTCTGAGGAATTCTTCCTTTTTCTTTCTTCTTTTTTTTACTGAGGGTGGCAGTAGCTCAGTCTGTAGGGACTGGGGTTGGGAACTGGAGATTGACGATTCAAGTCCTGGTGCAGACCAAAATATGGAACCCCCAACAGCCTGGCATACACAGGTCCTGTTTGTGCATGTGTGTATTTATGTTGGGCCTATGTGTGAGAGAAGCATGCCTCTCAGTAACAGAGGGTAAACCTGAATTTCCCTCAGAGATTAATAAAGTATGTCAAATAAAAAGAATGTAATTAAAAAGATCAATTAACCTTCTGCAGGGACCATGAAAGGGAAAAGCACTCCTCTACGGCTATTAACCCATGAAAGACTTTAATTAAAGCTACGGGCCTCAATAATGTTCCTGTGACTATTGTAGCAACAAACACATTTTATCCTCTCAACTACTAATCCCCATCTGATCGTTTGATAAATTTACACCTATTTGGCTTTCAAGTTTTTTGCATTATCATTTGAATAAAAGACCAATGTAAAAAATCACATTTTATTTACCATGTATTTTTAAACATGAATTTCTTCACTTAAAAAATGAATCTACAAAATCTGTAGGAGAGAAACTATTATCTGTAAATCAGAGATTCATACTGTAGCAGTAGGTTATACAGCTGTGTAAATAACACCTGTAGAGTAATAATGAATCATTAATATGACTCTGGAATGGAAAACAAAAGCCAGAGGTTAGCTGTGAGTATCATAATCTATGCAGCACTGACTAATCTGGTCAAACTGAAAAATTCATCAGTTGTGTGTGCATGCATGTGTGTGTGCATATGTATTGTGATCAAGACAGATGGTCTGATCCTACTGGAAAGAAACAGCTCTCTCCTGTCTCCATGGAAACAGACGAGAGGCGATGGAAGTGAGAATCCCTTCATGTGTATAATGCGTGTGTGTCTTTTTCGTTGCTTTCTGTTCTAGTCTTTTTCGATCTATTTTGCTCTATTTCTGTTATATCTCTTCTATTCTCGTCCATTCTGTTCTATTCTACTTTATTGTATCAATCATTCAATCTTTACTTGTAAAGGTCCATTTTAATACATTTGTTAGCTCAAGACACTTTAGAAACAGAGCAGGTAGACTGTGCCCTTTGTTAAATTTTTTACAAAGACCCAACATTAATCCACCACTTTGCAACATTTAGCAAAGTTACAGTGGCAAGGAAAAACTGCCTTGTTACAGGAAGGAACCTGGAGCAGAACCAGACTCATGTTGAACAGCCGTCTGCTTAAACTGTGCTGGGATTAGAAAGTGGGATAGAGAGAAAAACAGAGAGACGAGATGGATAGAGACAAAGAGTAACAAAGCTACAACAATGAAGAAAATACGATTTTTAGCTACAATGCCAGTAATGATGATAAAAGGTAAGTGTTGTATTTGCAGTAACAACAAAGTAAGGC